AAACAAAACAAACCAAATAAGTAGTTTATGACGCGTCTTATGATGGAATGCACCTTACAACGGGAAAAAATGCAGTACACTGAGTGTTAAGACAGCTATGATCCGTCGCCATCTTCTTTTAGCTTATAGAGAGTGGCGAACTAAAGGCACCTGATTGATACGATGTTTCATTCCTATCAAAGTAAATACCTGTAAGGGTAACACGTAAATAGAAGTGTGGTCGGTTTTGTTGAACAATGCCCGTAAAACCCACCGATGTTCCTCATTTAGTTTTTGTCTTCGTCACGCAACTCACACCTCCCAGAAAATGAAAAGATACCTTACCTTGTACAGAAAGAAACGTCTGTAAAATCCAGCCGTTCAAAAGCAATGAACACTGAGGCCTGTCGTTTTCTGAAGAAAAGAGTCAATGGTTTCAATTTTTTTCATGTTCAAAACTACCATCAGTAGTGAAAGTTGGACGTGCAAAACTGAAATATATGTACTAAAGATGGAACTCGTAACATTCGGGTAAATTATTCAACATCTCTTCTCATTTCCTTCCAATGATAGACTAAAATGATTGGGTTCAGAAACACTCTTGTCATTAATAGACATTCGATTCTGCTCAAGCAAGGTCGATCTACCTTCTTAAAAGAAATTTGAAGACTTGAAGTGGATGCAATCACTTGGTGTAATTTTGGTTCCTAAACTTTGAATTTAAAAAAAAAGACTTAGCCATGCACTAATTTAAAATTGCAGATGCGTGAAGAGATATCAATCGTTTATTTTACCAAGAGAATTGCTAGCTGATCTTTACTAAGAAAGTGTCTAACTGAATCCTTTACTATGACGGCTGATTATTACGATGGTTCATTCTATCTTGATAGCTACTTTTAAGGGCGACACGTAGGTAGATCGGTCGATCTTATTGAACAAAGCCCTTTAAACCCACCCGTGTTCCTTATTTAGTCTTCATGCTGTCTTTGTCACGCCAGTCACATCCACTAGAAAATGAAAAGACTCAGTCATCGCACATAGAAAGCTAACCTTGTACAAAAAGAAACTTCAAATGTGATGTGATTGATGTCTGACTAAAAATCCAACCACTCAAAAGCAATGAATACCGAGGCCTGTTGTTTCCTGTTTAAAATAAGTGAATTGTTTCCTTTTTTTCATCTTTGAATCCACTGGTGGTGAAAGTTAGACATGCGAAACTGAAATACATGTACTGAATGTTGAGCCCGTAACAGTCGGGTAAATTATTATACATCCTCATCATCGTCCTCCTAATGGTATAATAAAATTAATGCGCCCAGCCATGCTATTATACAATAGACATTTGATTTCCATGTTTTTTCCCATAACAGTTCGAAATTTGCTGAATCAGGGTCCATAGACTTTCTTCAAAGGAATTTATTAACCGTATATTTTCGATTATAGAAAATGAAAAGACTCAGTTATCCCACACAGCTAGCTTCCCTTGTACAGAAAGAAACTTAAATTGTGTTGTGATTGATCTTTTAATGAACATCCAACCCCTCAAAAACAATGAACACTGCGGGCTGTCGTTTCCTGATAAAAAGTGAATTGTTTCATTTTTTCATTTTCAAATCCATCATCAGTAGAAAATGTTAGATGTGAAAAACTAAGATACATGTAAACATGGAACGCGTGACTTACTCAACATGGACTTACTCAATATGTAAAGTCAACAGTAGCGAAAACATAGCATTGCGTCGATTGTTTTAAAACAGACAGTACTTACCAACATTTGTAGTCTTCAGTGCTTTGTTTATAAATAATGCTAACTTCCTCTGTCCGTTCATTGAGTTTTTCCCTGCATACGTCCTACGTCACTCAGGGACAGCCAATAAAATATGATCAGCTGTTTCTGGCGCAAAATCACTTGGACTTTCATTTTCGTAGTCATTTTCGTTCGCAGGCCCTCCAATGCCCCGCTCTTATCTCGAGGGTCTCAAGCTTTGACGGTTAACGACTAGAAATGTTCCGATCTTGACACCTGATGGTTAAAACTTAGGTCATTTGACAGTCAACGGTTACCAGGAAGAATAACTTTTTTAGAATCTAGTTTACTTGTACGTCCCGAGCAAACAGGAAGTGAATCGATGAAATCAGCCGCTACTCATTTTTTCCTAGAGCTTAGACAGCAATGTCGTGCTCTGCACAACAGAATTAAGTGCGAACAATAATAACATGTAACACACCGTATAGTGCAACAAAAATTTATTATCAATGTTAGCCGCCATGACAGTTCTTCTTAAACCAAATACTTCTCCTGCATCTATTAATTAGGTAATTTGGTTAGGCAGGGGACGTTAAAGAACCCACTCACGAGATTACTGTGAGGTGGTCTGGCCTGTTTACTGGGAATCGGGGGGAGGGGGCATCTTCAAATAAGTTTCCTTCGATTGTTTGTAAACTGCTGATGCAGTCTGGCCAAAGTCCCCCGAACAGTGTTGTGATGCGCATTTGATCATATCGACATGTTAATTTGCGCAATATAAATATTAAATTATTATTATTATTATTATTATTATTACTTTTCAAGACGACAGCGAGAAACTCGTACTTTATATATTGTCAGCATATTGATAATTTGGTTTCCTCTTTATTTAGTTTAGTGTCTGTTCTTCATTCTACACTCTGTAAAGTTCCTCATGCAGGTATTATTTTAACATTTGGTTTGTTTTGAAGCTTTTTGTTATTGCGCCGACGTACAACCGGATAAAGGGGTTCAGGGTCGGTACCTGGCTGGGTTATTGTGATGTGTTCTTAGGCGAAATATGTACTTTTATATTGCCTCTCTCTATTCGAGAGTATCTCTGTTTATCGGTAAACTGCTACAGAAACCGGAATGTGAGGGGGGTGGTGGACAAGTGGCCAATTTAAGAGGAGTAGTAGTAGTCAAGATGGCTGGATATTGCCTCGTTCCTTTTTCACGAGACTAATATCCGGCCATCTTGAAGGAAAAAGTCTGGTCCATAAATGATTTATCATGTAGCAAAAATATTCCTTTTTCAGTAAAAATGACTTGTTTATTTCGAGAGTCGAAAAAGAAATCCAGCTATGTTTGTGGCTCAATCCCCTACGAGAGGCGTTAATTTTTTCTTCGTTTTGACTAATTTTGCAGCTTTCTTTGAATTCATCGACGATATTGATCAAAAATTACGAACTTTATAAGTCCACTCCACGCATCTTTTTTCCTGCGCGGGATCAAAGCAGGTAATCCCATGTTTTAAATTTCCCCAGGACAAGGAAAGTAACAGTACCTTGCTGTAATAGATGGTTCATACTATTGTTGATTTCTTTACGAGGGGGAGGGGGAAGGTTCTTAAAGAGCACGGGATCCGCCCAAGCTACGCCTTTCTGATTAGTTATGTTTACACTATGTTTCTCTCTTGTTTTATTTTTTAAGAAATTGTCAAGCATAGAATAAGAGCAGATAGTCTCGTTGTCAACAAATCAAGTGAGGAAACAAAACAGGACAGCTTCTCACAGGGTTGGTTATTTATTCTTTAGTAGACTTAGCTGGACTTTCTGCTCTTAGTATATCTCATTTTTTTTTAACAATAATTAATGAACTATCCGAGCTTAGACGATTAACCTGGCTGGATTAAACAAATGTCTGCAATGAAGGAAAATTATTCAGAAACAAAATGAATCAAATTTCTTTTAAAATTTGATTTCTTGGATCTTTTTCTTAATCGAGGCAGTTTTCAGAAGTCTACAGCAATGTCGGTTTTATGAAGCAGCACTACAGGACTACAGTGTAGCTCTTTGTTTCTCTTGATGGTGAAAGACTGGTGTCAAAAAAATACTCGGTCACTGTTATGCTTGTTGTAAACATCCAGCTGAATTTTTAAGTTTTAACATTTCAAATATGGTTCTCGGTTGATTTCATTTGAGGTGCTAATGGTTAAAATGGGTGCAGTAGTTCCAGTTTCATCTAATTCTACTTCAGTTTCCTCACTTCTTTGGCTTATATTTGAAAGGGTATTATAAACATTTTACCAGCCTGACATACGAAGGTTTTTCTCTGCCAAGAGAAAATGGCATCACTCAAAGGAAACCTCAATACGTAACTTCCAAAGAGTTCAGTGTAACTCATGGTTACGATCTGGTGACGTATTAACGTGTTGCGCCAAAATGATTGTAAGAAGATGATCGAAAGTGTGAGCTGAAAGAAAATTTCTCTCGTCAACAAATAAGGATCCTTACAACTCAACCCAGTTAAAAAAATGGAGGACATTAAAAATTGGTTTTTGCATCTCAGGCTCGAGCAGATCTTGAAATAAATTTTCCTATTTTGACTAGAATTCTTCTACTTAATTCAGTGATACAGCAACAGCCATGGAGCATGATCGTTAGATGTCGTAGCCATCGAGACTTAAGCAATTTCCGTTAGCTCCTAACTTGTATTTCAAAAACTTTTTCTGATGCAAGCAAACTTTCCAAAATGGAAAAAAAATATTTAAAAATATGTTTATGGCAACGTTGAAGCCAATGTCCTCTTGCAAATTAAAACCAACCTCAGTTGATGGGAAAAAGAAATAAATTTGAGGTGTATTATGGCACTGTTTGTTACAATTATTTTATTTTTGACGAACGAACCAGTGAGTGAATGAATGATTTACTTCTGTCGAGCAAAGTAAATAAGTGATCCTAAGAGTAAAGACCCATAAAGGGAACAAGAAAAATGATGAAAAACAAATTGTACACAGTCGACTTCATAGTGCTTTAAAAAAACCAAAAAAAACAAGCAATTACATTCAGAGGTCCATGTAATATAACAGTTACCTGAAAGTGTCATCCATCGGATTCTGATGGTTGCCAATAGTCACAAACAGAATCTACTGAATTCCATCAGTTATCGATTACATAAAGGTGAGCGCCCCCCCCCCCCCCAAAAAAAAAAAAAAATCTTTAAGCTGTATGGTTGGAGAAATTTTCCAAGGATGTTCCTATATTTTGAAATCCGAAAACAAAACCATAGAAACTGGATTTTCATTTAAAGATTTTATTGACCTCATTTTTCTTACACTGACGGATTACATAAATTTAAAATACTAGTAAAAAGACAGGCATTTAAATACACACATCTAGTATGACTCCTATTTAAGATAATAAGTACCATTAGACAATACAGTGTTGACATCACTATCTATGAAAGTTTCTCATCTACTGGAAGAGTATTAAAGGTTGAGTTTAAGGGTTAATAGTTAAAAGAAAACATTTAGGGAATGTGAATGAGTCAACCTGAACAACGCTGTCATATTCTTGTCCAGTGAATCACGTGCAAAATCCAAGACAGCGGTCAAACGTCGCGCATACGCAAGAGAATCAATGTTGGCCGCTCACGCGTCCATTTCCCGCGCGAAATTTCATTGAAAAACATCACTGAAACAACCGCTGTCTCGCAAAATGTTCAAAAGAAAATTGAAACGTTAATAGAAATCCATGATGGGAAACAAAAGTTGGGAAAAGGAAAACTTGAGGCTTTGAACATAAAGCTTACTAAAGTACAGGTGTCCTGTTGATTTACGATTCTGTTTTGAGCTTTATCAAAAAAAGTCAAACGCTGTTAAAACGTTGCTTGTGTAGTTATTTGTTGCTCCTGGAAAACAACTTGGTTCTGTTGGTCAGGCTAAAAGTAAGCCACCTAGAGCGCCACTCAGTCATTGCAACGCTCGCGCATGCACAGTCGTTTGACCGCTGTCTTGCAAGCCCGTACCACTGTGATTTGCGTTTCGCTACTTTCCCGTGTTTAAACGCGACTGAAAATCCTACAATTTGATTGGCTCATTACACTGACTACAATTAGTACCCATGAATTAAAATGCTGCAACAGATTTAAACATTCTTCGAAATTGCAATTCTTTTAAGAATATGTGAACTTTCTAAATAACAGGAATAATATCAACCAGCTATATATTATGAGTCTTTTAATACTCAGCATTTGTAATATTTCAATGTTTATTAATGTGCTTGGTGCTAAAATAACCTCTACGATACGGAATAAAAAAAAGCGCCATAAATATTCCAAAAGGCCAAGGCAGCCATTCCGGACAACAATTTGGAAAACTCATCAAGTCTAATTTAGCTGACCACAGAAAATGAACACCCAATGCAACGATACAATTTTCTTCGTTTTATTTTAAAGTTCTTCCCATCAAGAAACCCCAGGACACGAAGGTGATTTATGTGCGTTACTTAAAAAACAGAAAAGAGCTCTCTAAAAGATTAGCCGGCAAATGCAGCACCTTTAATTGCAAGCTATCACTTGATCAGCTCAGCCTGTAATCGAAGGCAACCTTTACTTTTTAGTGTTATATATGTTAGCCAAATCCCCTTTCATATGTTATCTAAACTGTCCGCGTGCTTTCTTTGTATTTGTTGGTTAGATACTTATTCTACCTTGACATTCTTGCTGGTACAAGATACGTTTATGCATTATTGTTACGTTAATTTTCTTCTTCCGTCGCTTATGAACTGCATATGAAATATTCCTTGTTCACATAGGTACAACACTAGGCACACAAATAATGAAGTTCTCGCTGCACACCAGACAAATCGAATCGACCTCGTAACGAAGTAACCTTTTAGGAAGTGAACAAGTCAAGCGGCTCTCTCACTGCATATCTGTGTATACCAGGCAGTCTGATGTAACAATCAAAACCAAGATGGAATAACCATCCTCTTACCTCGTACAGAGCCCTGCTTCTCAGAGTGCATTCACAAGCGTCTTCTCAAGTCTTTCCATCAGCACTGACTACACTCTATCCTAAATTACCCGCTAACGCTCTGAATGAGATCTCTCCTTCCTTCCGCACTGCGAGATGGTGTCAAACTGCAGTTACAGCGTATTGAACACAAGGGTTGCAGTGGGGAGGAGGGGGGGGGAGGTTTATCTCTCGACGTAACCCTCCTTAGTCGTTCGTTCCGTCTAGCTTATGCAGTGAGAAGTAAAAAGAAATCTTACGGTGTGAGGATGACTGTCACTAGAACATTTGAGCTGCTTTTCGATATCTTGCTAAACTCACCTGACTGCATAGTTACTGCCGTTGGCCTCTTACGCTGAGGTAAAAAGTAGAAGACTTTGTCTGGTGAGTTACGAAGTTTTTCGTCAATTAAAACAGTCACCTAAACACAGTTAGGATTAAATAATCTACATATCTTATCATAAAATTCTTGGACCAATCAAGTTGGCTTTCATTAACAGATGTGAGTTCTTCAGCTAAATAAGCGCATGCCATGAGTGAGTGAAGACAAAACAATTGGAAGATTATACGTAAACGAATGCAAAAACGTATTACATCTTTTCTTTGTTTTTCTTTGCTTCTTTTACCAATGGGATCTCGGCATTCTCTCTGACTTGTGCAAAAGTATACTCCTTGACAAGGACTCCGTTTTCAAATACAGTCTCGAGAAGATCCTGTTCACACAAAAAGTAGTTAGTCAGTAGCCTTGATATTCTTTTAAAAATGTGAGTCAAGAATACTAACAAATAATATAAAGAGAGGGACAAAAACCAAAGGTGATATACCTCCGAAAGCAGGGCACTTCCTTCAGAAACCGACTCAAAACTAACACAGTGGTCAAACGTCGGCGCATGCACTAACTTTGTAATGACTAAGTGGCGTGTTTTCAGAACCACGTCATCTCACGCGAGTTACAAACAGCAACACAAGCCAGTAAGTCACGGTACTTTTTAAAGCATATAACTTTTTTCTAAATCTCAAAACAGAATGGTAAATCAACAGGTACCCTACTTGAATAATCTTTGTGTTTGAAACGTCTCGAGTTTTCCTTTTCCCTACTTTTGTTTCCTGTTACAGATTTTTATGGCCTATTCTATTTTCTTTCACTTTTACTGACACAGCGCTTGCTTCTTGTGTTTTCCCTACAAATTTAGCGCGGGAAATTGGCGCGCGGCCGGCTAGGTTTGATCCCCGCGCGCATGCCCGACGTTTGACATATGATTCGCTTCATGTAGCCCGGTTGTGAGGCCAGCCATACAAATGCAAGAACCAAATCTTTAGTTATCATGTTCACGAGTTTACCAGCCATAAATAAAGCCAGTTTTTATCATTCTTATAAAACCCCACAGCTCACAACCAGTTCAAGAATGACCAGCTGGGTTACTTCCCATTTAACCCTTTAACTATCGAGACTGACCAAAGGGGAACTTCTCCTCACATCATCGATGCATTTTCAAACTGAAGGGTGATGAGAAGAAAGGAAGATATCAATTATAGGACAGTGTTTGATTCAGTGCCAAATTCCCCAAGCAAAAATCAAGAGAAAAGTATGAGAAACACCGCAGAGAATTGATGTTTTGAGCCTTGGGAGTGAAAAGGTTAGCTGGGAGAGGACGTCGACGACAAACAAACATATCATTAAAAGAGTACCTTGTCTGCATTTCCTCTTCCTTCTTCAACCGTTACGTATTTGCCCGTGTCATCCAGTTCAAGCGACAACAGCCCTTTCTTTGAATGCTTTGTAGAATCCGTAATGGGTTGCTTGTACACGTTCACCTAAAAGGCAGGCAAGGACTTGTGGTTTAAAATGGTGTATTTTTAGAGCAGTTTTCAATTGACTGTCGAAAAACTGAACCCAAGGTAATCACTGCGTCTAATCATAACAAAGGAAAACATAATCGTCAGCCAATGAGAACTCATAGCAAAAACCGGCAGACTACCAAAAGCGCGGGAAAACGCGGAGTTCATTATAAACCAGCAATACTTACTGGTTTTTCATTGATAACAGCAAAGCAACACTTGTAGGCACACTTCTGAGTGTCACGATCCAATTTCTGTAACAGAGCGCCTGTTTAGACAAAATCAGACATCATTTTCCTCTTGAGGTAAAAAATAATATTGTATCGACTACTGTGTGCGAAGAACAGAACACAACGAAGTTACCCGGGAAGATTTGGAACTCAGACCTCTAGATCGAGATATCAGCACTGTAATCCCCAGGCCACCTCGTATCCCACGCAGCCTTCGCTAATCTCTATCATCATATCTCTCAATTAGTGCGTCCGCTGTGATCAGTCAATTTAGCGGGCCGTATTTCACTGTGCTGTCCGCTAAATTAAAATAATTTGTTTGAACTGACATCTACTCCCTCTTCTTGAAGCCAAAGAATAAATATCTTACTATCCACGTTTTCTCGATCTGTACCGTAAGTTACGGATCCTCGTTTTTTCCGCTCCGATTTATGGCCTGCGCGAAGCGTACCCGCGCAGAAAAATTCGGTCCGTAACCTACAGAATGGACCTCGAACTCGGTCAATAAGAGGCATACATTTGACAAAGGAGTCATTGCACAAACCTCCGCTTCCAAATGCGATGTTGTCAGCGCTCCATTTGTGTTTCTTCATGTTTTCCAGAATTTCAGACAGAGTTTCATAGCTGATTCCATCACCCTAAACAGTTGTCGATATAGTTACATGAAAAGGTTTTTGCTCAGGAGAATTATTAAGATCACTTGCGAAGGGAAGCTCAAAATCTTAAAAAAAGACTCAAGGCATTTAATCTGACGCATCTAACATGCTTTCAATACCCTTCACAAACGTCAAAGGTCCACTCGGATTACGTGTCTTACACGTTGCATCGGCCACGAGTCGAGTCTCTTTAAATTAAATTGTTCTTTGTGAGCAGTAAAACAAAAAATACAAGAAAATAAGGCTTTGAATTAAAAAAAAAATCTTATCCTCACCTGGATTATTCTAAGGTAAGGTGGTAGTAAGTGAAAGCCTTTAGAATTTTTGTCCCCTCCAAATTTACGATCTGCGAGAAAACAGAATTGAAATCAATGTTCGTAATATGTAAAAAAGCGACCGTGTTCCATGAATAGAAGAAAAAGAAGTATAAAAAAGGAATATACGATCATTTTTAGAACTCGGATCCAGTCCCTCCTTCCTTTCTCCTGTAGCT